TAATTCGTGATCATTTCAGTAGGTTAAGTAATCTGTGAATACCAGACTTTGGAGGGTGAAATGTACTTTTATACTTGACATAAGAGCACTGTGTCCTTATAGACAATTTTCAGAAAAATATTCCACAATTTTAATTAAAAATTAATATCAAATCTGTTCTTCTCATCTTATTGGTCTCACAGACATATAATGGACATTTCAGTGTAATCTCTGCATAACACCTGTTTCCAAATTGTATAACTTTTCAGTCGGAGCAGCAGTGGGGTCTCCAGTAATGTCACATTTTAGTTACAATGAATAGAGGGAAAAATATCCTGTTGGTCCTCTACAGCACATGGTTTGCAGCTGTTTCTGCTACACCTCTATTATAATTTATGTTCCTGTGACTATTTGCTCTGACCATATGTTCTGATTTATTTTTTTCATATTCGTGTGTAAACCCATTTTATAAATCTATGTTTTAGTCCCAATGAGCTTTCTGAAAGGTCCACCACTGGAAGAATTAAGAAATGCATCTCTGTAACATGCAGGGTGAATTGAATACATTTTCCCTACAGAAACTGTAAGGATGAAGTTGTTATTAACATTCCTTATCTAATAGCCTATAAGTCCAGGATCACTTACCAAAAGCTGCTTAGAATTAACACTCATTTATACATAAAATAATTCCAGATCAGGAAAATGTTTAAACATAGTTTTTACATTTGTTTTATTTTTTATCCCAATGTGTCTGCCTTGGTAACCCCCTATTCTATCCATCAAATCACTAATCACTATGATCACCTTCTTTAAGTTTTGCAGACTATGGATGTATGTTGGAGATCTTAAACCTGGAGTATCTGCCTGATGGACGATCTTTGGTAGAGACTGTGGGCAGGAGAAGATTCCAAGTGAAGCAGCGAGGTCTCCTAGACGGATATCATACTGCAGAGGTTGAATATCTTGTGGACAAAAGGCTGGAAGGTGAAGAATTGCAAGAAGTGGAGCACTTAAATAATATGGTTTATCAACTGCTTCAGGATTGCTTTACACAACACAGTCATGTCTTTGTTAATCATGGCCATCCTCCTCTAAAAGAGAACAATATACAGGTCAGTATGTCAATATGGTGAATGTGTGTGTTGAACAAATATATTATAAGGATAAAAGTACACTGCACACTAAGTTGTGAGTGGTGATAATGTGCATGTTACATGGGAGTGTTACTCCCAACAACATTAGACAGCAGTTGTATACAACAAATATTCTGCGGGTCCAACCTTACGTAGTCATGCACCCATACCAAATTCTGGTCACACAACAGATATATGTATATAGCCACACTCACTCACTTGCAATTACTGGTTTCTGGGAGTTGTAGTTCAGCTGTTAGCTTTCTACACCAGAGACAGACTATTGAACTACAACTAGAAGCTTTTCCTGTGCCCAAAAAGTACTGCTTAAGCTTGACAGTGTTATGAAATTTTAAGTAAGCAGCATGATTGGCTGAGACACTTTTTGGCTGGGTTCTAGCCCGCTGCTGAAGTTACAAAGCTTGTGGAACATAGAAAGTGAGTATATTTTTTATTATTTTGTCTAGATAATTTTTTGCATATATTTAAATGCATCATTGACAAAATCCACGGCAACAGACCAGCTCTACTTTGTTCTATGGATTACTTTTGCAGTGACAAAAGAGATATAAGAAAATAATTGGTTTAGAGTTTTTAAGGACCCTCCAGTTTCACCCTGTGGTACAGATTTTCTGGAATATCGGTTTTAATTGTTGGAATATTAAGGCTGTATACTCAGTGTTTTTATTATCTTTCAACAAATTATTAGTAGCATATGCTCATGAGGAGCGTGATATCACTGGCACACATGCACTAAGCTAAATGTAAAATGTCGCATTATATATTTAAAATTTTTGTTTTATGCACCAGCCAATGGCAATCAATGCTCATTTATACTGAGCTGACAGCTGCTACATAGTGCTAACAAGACTGCTAAGAATCACTGCACACAGTTTTGAGAAGCTTAAGTAATCCCAAAGTATATAACTTTATGTCTATTTTGGTTTCATTGACCAAATTTTTTTTTTTAGCTTTTTGTGCAATAGTTCACACCAACTCCTTTAATTGGATTATAGGATTTGCTCTGAAAGAGTTGAGAGGGGAGGCTGAATGAAAACCAAAAAGCAAGTGTTTGTTGTAAATGATGTAGACCTGTTCCCAGCAGTGCATGGGTTAATAGCAGCAGTTAGCGGATGCAGTGCAGAGTGCAGCAACTCTCCCAATGGGCCGCCTGCCGCGTCTCTTCCTACTCATACTGTCGGGTTTGGAAACAAGATTAATGCTTCTGTCCATTAAGAACCGCCAGGTGCTTGCAAGTAAATGACTGGAAAATGTTCTCAAAACCAAAATAGCATACTTAAAGACACCAAGGGGACACTTTGCCAAAATAGGAGATCATAAGTCAGTGCTTTTCACTTCTGTTTTCTTTTTTTTAATGAGCCAGGAGGACAAATTGACTAAATGTGTAAACTTTGCACACTTTGCATTAATGTTACATGCTTTTTGTTCATTTTCTTACAATACTGTTCAAAAATATGCCCAAAGAATAACACAAGAATGGTTCCTACAATTTAGAGCTGAAACCCTTTGTGAATCTAGAGATCACACAGAAACTCCTGCAGCTCATGGTCTGGACAGTCTGAATGGAAAGAACTTACATTTTTAATTTAGTGTTTGATTACTAAAAGAAAGAGAAGAAAGGTGGCAGTTTAAGAAAAATATAGCAGGGGCCCTTAATGGATCTTGCTTTACCCTGATATTCTACAAAAATACAACTGTTTGAAAATACACTGTAGGTACATACAGAGTTTATGTAAGGAGTTTTTTGACTGTATTGGATCTGTACATTAGTAATAACCTTCTCCATAAGTAGAAAATTAGCCTTCTAAAAAACATTTTTACCTGCCATTCTCTATCTTTTTTTTGTGTAGGATTCTCCTGATGGTCCATCATGGTGTTGGTGGCTCCTGTCTGTCTTGCCGTTGGACCCAAGCTACCAGATGTTCATCTTTTCTATGACCTCCCTGAAGGACCGACTTCTACATCTGAAACACATTCTGTCAGTGTTTCAGAATCGGCCTTAGCATTTTCAACAAAGTAAATGCCTTGCACAACTAAATCAATGAAGAAGCACAATTACAAATATACAAGTTTACCCCAGATTTTGAAGCGGATTGCTCACAGCTTGTTTGAATATATTGTTGTAATTTGTATCTGTTTAAGTCATACCTTGCCCTTTTACAAGCTTTATATTGCAAATTCTGATTTTAGAGGGAAATAAACTTGAAAAATGAATATGCTTGTGCTACTGGAATAATACAATGTGATGTCTTCTTAATGCCGTCCTTCAGAAAGATAGTTCTCACGCACATGATTCCTAAATCCAGTATTTTTTTATCACCAGACTCATATTAAGTAGCAAATTTCTCAACATAAAGACATTTTCATGTTGCAGAGATATTATGGAATTCATTCATTCATTATCTATTACTTAACAGTAGATTTATTGTGAATCACTTTGTCAATTCTAATTGTGAATGTGACACAAATGCAGTTGGACCTCTTGGTCTTGACTTTCGGCCAATCAACTGTTTATACTCATGGACTTGATGGAATTAAGCTTTGCAGCTAAATATATATATATATATATATATATATATATATATATATATATATATATATATTAGATAACTTTTTTAACATGAACATTCATGTGGAAAAAAACATAAAACATAACGTTCGGGAGGGTATGTTTTTTAATCTTGTACACTTTTTTTTAACTCCTACGAATGAAGAGCCAACTTGGTGAAATTTTAATGTACATCACTCCAACCAGAGATAGGGAAATCCCAAAACTCTAATGTGGATATGGACTACTGCCATGTGCAACCACCTAAAGTGTGATGAAAACTGAAGGCAATATCAAGCTGCAGATTGATCATAATGTGATTTGGAGTCCAGTCCTGTTACCAGCTAGATGCAATCTGTAGTTTAATCTTTCTGGCTCTATGGGCTCAGATTACCTTGGCATGTTGCAAAACCCAGTAGGCCACTGGCTGAATGTGTTGCAAACTGTATGTAAGCTCCGCTAATAGCTGATAAAATATGGGAATAGCAGTCTACAGTAAATGGTGTCATGTGTTGCCTGTTCTTGTATTATGTTGCCTTCAGTGTGATTTATTTTCTTACATGCATCCTTTTTGCTTTTATGTCTGTGTATTGTTAACCTGTTTTGTAGATCGATTTAATTAGCACTCTGCTAGTTGGAACTATAAAATGTGGTGTAACATTCAGCTACAAGGGAAAGGTACTCTATATACAATTTTGGTAATAAAATTACGAAAGATTTTCTCATATCGCTACTAGTTTGTTACTCATGCACTTTACTAAATCACTACTGGAGCTGCACAGTGCTTATTAGAATTAATATGAGATATTGCTTCTTCACTCTGTAAAGTGTAGATTCTACTGTGCCATAAATTCATAAAAGATCAGAAAGCGCTTGTAATGGACTGATTTTTTATTAATATCTTTAACAATATGAAACTCAGTTGTGACACTGAATTGCAAACGCAATGATAACTGAGGATCTGACATCTTCGTATGCATTCTGTGTATTATTTGTAGCTATACAAATAGTGCAGCCCGGGAGTCGGGACTGGAAAAATTATTAAATGTTAAAAAAAGATACAGACTTTTTTTACTGGTCTTTTCCCTCTTTTGGTTACTTTTCTCACTCAAAATGGCAAAACATTTTTCCATTAAATAATAAAAAAAATTGGGGCACTCTAATTTTGACCATATGTTGGTTCGAATTTTGGTACTAGAAACTTGATTCAGAATCAGATGAACAAAATGTCAGAAAATGCTCCTATTAGGGTATTGCAAAATATATACATAATATTATATTATGTACCGGTATATAGTTTGCAGTACACTGATTGGCCCATTTTAGTTCCCTTTCTGAATGAAGTTTTCAGTGCCAAAATTCTGCTGAGTCGGACCGACATATGGCCGATATTAGGGTGATCTGAAACATTTCCTATTTTCTGGAAAAATGGTTCAGCCAAACCAAATTTTCTTGATATGTACAACTCTAATAAATACCTACTTGTGGTATTACAAATGACTAGCTCACTAAAACAATCCGCAAATACAAGATCAGTTTAGGATTTCATAATGACCAAACTAGATGAGACAATCGGCTTTCATCTACCATCACAATGGTGATTAAGTTAAGTGAGAATTGTCGTGAATACATAGTGAATTTTAAATTCTACGTCAAAATAGCCAATGTGGAAGCATATCTGAATTGGATTTTTTCTGTTTCACCTATTAGGGAATGAACTTTAAATTCACTTTGAACTCCTGATAAATCTCACTTTAGTGACTTACTCTGTATGTCTAATTGCACAAGAGGAGCCTTGTAGGGATAACATGAGACATATAAAGGGGCTTTGGAGGAAATGAGACACATGGATGGGTTGGGGGGTAAGACACATGGAGGAGCTTTGGCGAGAAAATGAGACAAATGTAGGGGCTTTGTTGGGACAAAATGAGACACATACAGGGGCTTTGGGGTGAAATTAGACTCATAGAGGGGTGTTAAGGGGGAAATGAAACACATGGAGGGGCTGGAGGGGTGGGAGTCAGACACATGGAGGGGCTGGGGGGAATAATGAGCAGGGTGACCAGATTTTCAAAATAAAAAATGGGACATCCATTAGTGATATAAAAATTGCAAAAAAAAATAAAAATTAAACAAAAAAACCCAGAGAAATACATACACATTAGAAGTCTTTAACCCCTGAAGGACACATGACGGAAATATTCCGTCATGATTTCCTTTTATTCCAGAAGTTCTGTCATTAAGGGGTTAACCTATTCCTGGCCAGAAGTGGATGTTTCAGTTCATCTCTTCCTGGTACTCGAATGAGTGTCTTTTCATTTACATTTTGTAGGAGCATGATCAGAGCACACACATACCCTAGCCCAGGGCCATCTTAACAGCATAATAAGCCGCCGGGGAAAGCTTATATTTATTGGTACCTCCAACAAATACAATATATACACACAGACTGCTGAATACACAGAAAGACAGACTGCTGAATACACATACATAGACAGTTGAATATATACAGAATATATACAGACTGCTAAACACACACACACACACACACACAAAGACAAAGTACACACACAGACAGACTGCTGAATACACACACACACTGCTGAATGCACAAGCACAGACTGCTTAATACACACAGACTGCTAAAAATTTACACACAGACTGCTGAATACACACACAGACTGCTGATTACACACACACATACACACTGAGTGCTGAATACACACACACACTGACTGCTGAATACACACGCACTGACTGCTGAATACACATACTGTTACACACAGACTGCTAAAACATACACACAGACTGCTGAATAAATATACACAGACTGCTGAATACATACACACAAGCTGTTGAATACATACACAGGCTGCTAAATACACGCACACACACACACACACACACACAGACTGTAGAAGACACACGCAGACTGCTGAATACATACATACAGACTGCTCAATACACACATACTTCAAAACACACACACACACACACAGACTGTTGAATACACACACACAGATGGACTGCAGTGAGGGGTGCAGTGTGTGTGTGTGGAGGGAGTGCTGTGTGTGGGGGATAGTGTGTGGAAGGTGCAGTGTGTGTGTGTGGAGGGATGTAGACTGTGTAGGGGTTCAGCATGTGTATGAGTGGAGGGGGTGCTGTTGTGTGGAGGGGATGGTGCATGTGTAGCGGAGTTTTGTGTAGTGATTCAATGTGTGTGGGGAAGTGTAGTGTGTATAGTGTTGTAGTGTGTGTAGGGGTTCAGTGTGTGAGAGGGGGTGCTGTGTATGTGGGTGGATAGTGTGTGTAGGAGTTCAGTGTGTGTGTGTTTGTGGGGGTGTTTTGTGTGTGTGGGCTGTAGTGTGAGTAGGGATTCAGTGTGTGTGTGTGTGGAGGGATAATTAAGCAAATGTATATATATTTTTAAAAATGAAAACACTTTATATACCCCTCCTCCCTCCATCTTACCTTTGGCCGGGATGAGGGGGATGACAACTTTTGAATCCCTGGTGGTCCACTGGTGGTGTGTGCAGTTCGGTCTGCTGCACCTCTGGCTGCAGGCTTATTGCTCTCACCTTCTGCGAGTACAGCACAGTGTTAGAGCATTGCCATGGTAACGTGCGGCAATACTCTGACTTGTCTGCTCATGGGAGGAGTGTTCTGCCTCCCAGGCCCAGCTCCCTTCCTCCCTCTGCAGCTGCAAATTGCCTTGGGGCTGGTGAGGGAGATCTAGGGCCAAGAAGGAAGATAGCAGAGCCTTCTCTGCATGAAGCGGGCAGGGGAGATGAACGGATCTCCCTGGTCGGCCTCGGCAAATGGGGAAAGGGACTTTTATGCGTCCCGAGAAAGTTTCTCGGAATGCAGGGTCAAATGGGTGAAAACCGTGATGATCCCGGTAAAATTGGGATGTCTGGTCACATTGATAATGAGACACATGGGGGGGAATAATGAGACACGGAGAGGGGAGGGGCTGAGTGTAATTTTTGTACCGAGGCCCTGTGGTTTCTAGCTATGCCTCTGGTTCTGTATTTACATTATAACATGAAAACTGAACACAGAAAACATTAATAAATAAACAGTATGCTGACAACATCTGTAAAAGAAAAATATCAGACCCACATGAATATGCTGCCTTATGAATGGAAACATATCTTATTGTGCTTATGGATATACAAGCGTTATATATTATAGGTTTGCCTAATTAAACATTTGGTATATACACTTGTACTGAATGATACCACCTTAAACAAATATTTCCAGTTTTAACTTCTTAACTCCATTTCTTCCTGTCTGCTCTAGACAGCGTTTGGCGTGGCGGACAGGGTAAGTTACTCTGGGTTACTCCCAGAGCTTTAACCCGTTTGGGAACGTTCTCATAGTACCCTTAGCCTTGCCTTATTAGCCGGGGGGCTTTCAGAGCTCCATATTCCCCCCCAACTGATGATTGCATTAATTTATTTTAAACCTTGTTATTTATACAGTACTACGGTTGATTCATGGATTTTTCACTTTTAGACCTGGGATTACTCCAGTGAAGGGGCCCCTCACTTGAGTTATACTGACAATTTCCTTGGAATCTGTATATTTTAGATACATTTGATACAAATTATTATTCTTGTTTTCTTTGGTGACACTGTGCAATTTTACAAGCCAATTAAAATAATATGTTATATATTATTTTACTCACAGCCTAGCTGAGTGTTGTGTCTAAGTTTCTAGTTACATGTATAAGGATACTTTGTAACACTTTTAGAAATCACGTTGTATATTGCATAAAACAGCTCTGTTGATCAAGCTGCCGTTTGTGTTTAATCACACAGTTGGACAGCAATAGACACGGTGGTTCTCATACATATTTATTTTTACATATTATCTAAAAGTGCTGTATTTCTGTGTTTGAGATTATTAGATCTCTCCTTGCTGGAGTTATTCTTGAGTTCTTTGGAGCGCTCACACACATATTTTTCTTTTGTTCAATTCATTTTTTAGCCGCTCTTATGTGTTGTGAAGCAGCCCTAATATAACTAATTTTATTATAATATCCGTTTCTATTCGTTTCTATTCAGTAACCTATTATTCGTAGGTCAGAGAAATTTTCCCACAATTCTTAGCTTTCCTCCCTGTTCCCGCGATGCTTCCTTTCACTTTTACTGAACGTCCCGTCACTTAGACAGAATGCCGGCAAAACTGCAGAATTGCATCCTAACAGATTGAGAACAGTTTCTCCATTTGTGTTAGGATGCAATTTGGGACTTTGTTCGTATCAGAATTTCATTCTAATGAATGAAACTCCGATCTGATTCATGCCGCGGCTGCATCTTGCAGCCGCTTAGTTGTTAACTCCCTAATTCCCACGGTATTACGGAGCTATCTACCAAAAGGCTGAAAGACCTAAATTGGTCTTTCAGACAAATTTACTAATACTAAGTAAAGATTACTTAGTATTAGTAAATGCTGCCCCTACTCGCTATACCGCGAGTAGGGGTATATCTAGTAAACAGTGAGCAGCCTATGGCTGTGGCTATGGCTGCTCACTGTTTAAAAAAAAAAACCCTAGTACCCCCGGCTCCCACTCGTGAGCGGCAGGTGGGGGCCCTAAATGAGAATGTGGGGGGACTTAATGTCCTCCCCCCGGCCCCCACCCTTGAGCAGCAGGTGGGGGCCCTAAATACAATGAGGGGGGAACCTATTGTCCTCCCCCCAGCCCCCACCCATGAGCGGCAGGTGGAGGCCCTAATTGAGAATGAGGGGGGAGACCTATTGTCCTCCCCCCTCGGCCCCCACCCCTGTGTGGCGGGTGGGGGCCCTAAATTGGGAAAGTGGGGGGGCCTGTTGTCCTCCCATTCTGCTTACATTGACTGTACATTACCCCTGCTTCCTCATTGGTCTGATGGCGTTTTCTGCCAGACCAAGGACTTTAGCAGTGTGATAAGACTTGATACTTACGAAATCTATGTGGGGCTATAAACTGTATTTACCCTATATTTCTCTGCTGCTAGTGTTCCAGCAAAGTATGTAGCCTATTCACACAATGTACAGAAGAAGAATATGGATTCACATTCTTGTTGCAAAAATATTATATATACTTTTCCTCCAGTTATCTCTACTTTCAGAAGAAACATCATTTCAGCAATATTAAAAGTAGGATTTGTAAGCCATAACATGTTTGCATAACATTTCATTACGTTTCTTGCATAATATTAAAATGTTGCAATCTATTTTTAATTCATTTGATAGTAATGAAAATCATAGTTGCCATTGTAGAATAGTCCCTAAAATCCTTATGGATCGTATTACCATTAAAGAACACCTTGGGATGTGTATTGCTTGGTCATTGTCCATAGTGGTGCAGGATGTTCAAGGATTGTAAACACAGCATTGATTGTCTCTAATGTTTAATGTTAATGAATGCAATCTAGATCATATACAATTGCACATGAGACTCCTGTCAATAAATTGCAGTTTCTGTGCCTCATGTGATTCACAGAACAGGTGTTTTGAATTTACAGTTATTGTGATATTGTCTCTATCTTTTCCCTAAAATCTCTGGTGGATCTAATAGAATTGGGATTACATAGTAACAACCTTGATGTTTGTTACTAATGCAAGATTCCAATGCAAACAAAAATTTGTTATTTGCATAACATTTACATAACTTGTACTCAATCCATTTTGGCTTTAAAATACATGTGTGGCACTACAGTGTATAACATGGTTAACTACGGTAATGTACAAATGTTTCAGGAATAGGTTGCATTTTACATGTTAGGGTTAAAAATTTACTGTGTATAGTGCATTAGGGGGAAATCTTTTCCTAACCGTGTTTAACTGTGCAAAGCTCTCTCAGGGTCACTTACTAAAGTGAGAACACTACGTGAGCTCAAAATGAAATGAATCTCAAAGTTAAAGGACCACTAAAGTCACACATACCACTTCATCTCAATGGATTTGTCTGGGTGCAGAGGTCATGTTATTTTAATACTTAACCCCTTAAGGACTGAGCCAAATGTACACGTTGTGAACAAAACAAAATGTAAACAAAACCTGGCATTTGCGCTACATGTCTGTCCAACCGTAATTCAGCTCTTTCATAGTAAATGGACCCAACCTTATTATATATCATTTTATTCAGGGGAAACAGGGCTTTCATTTAATATCAAATATTGAGCTATGAAACATAATTTAATATGAAAAGAATGGGAAAAAATATGTTTTTAAATTTTTTTAATTCTACATGACATTTTAACTGTCAATGTCATAATACTGTTTGCTTTTACTGCAATACAATACACATATTTGTATTCAGCAAAGTCTCACGTGTAAAACAGTACCCACTATGTACAGGTTTTATGGTGTTTTGGGAAGTTACAGGGTCAAATATAACACGTTACATTTCAAATTGAAATTCGCCAGATAGGTTATGCTGCCTTTGAGACTTTATAGTAGCCCAGGAATGAAATTTACACCCATAATGGCATACCATTTGCAATAGTAGACAACCCAAGGTATTGCAAATGGGGTATGTCCAGTCTTTTTTAGTAGCCATTTGGTCACAAACACTGGCCAAAGTTAGCGTTAGTATTTGTTTGTGTGTGAAAAATGCAAAAAATGCCAATTTTGGCCAGTGTTTGTGACTAAGTGGCTACTAAAAAAGACTGGACATACCCCGTTTGCAATACCTTGGGTTGTCTACTATTGCAAATGGTATGCCATCATAGGGGTAATTTTCATTCTTGGGCTACCATAGGGTCTCAAAGGCAACGTAACCAATCTGGCGAATTTTAATGTGAAAAAAATGAAACGCAAGCCTTATATTTGACGCTGTAACTTTTGAAAACACCATAAAACCTGTACATGAGGGGTACTGTTGTACTCAGGAGACTTCGCTGAACACAAATATTTGTGTTTCAAAACAGTAAAAAGTATTGCAGCAATAATATTGTCCGTGTAAATGCTGTTTGTGCGTGAAAAATGCAAAAAACGTCACTTTTACTGGCGATATCGTCGTTGTAATACATTTTACTGTTTTAAAACACTAATATTTGTGTTCAGCGAAGTCTCCCGAGTAGAACAGTACCCCCCATGTACAGGTTTTATGGTCTCTTGGAAAGTTATAGGGTTAAATATGGTGCTAGCAAATTAAATTCCCTTTACCTTCGGCATGGGTTGTCAGGCAGGTCCCGCTAATTGTAATTAATTAAGATACCTAATTATGTAAAAATATTACATAAATATATAGGTAGAATTAATATATGTACCGTATATACTCGAGTATAAGCCGACCCGAATATAAGCCGAGGGCCCTAATTTTACCCCAAAAAACTGGGAAAACTTATTGACTCGAGTATAAGACTAGGGTGGGAAATGCAGCAGCTACTGGTAAATTTCTAAATAAAATTAGATCCTAAAAAAATTATATTAATTGAATATTTATTTACAGTGTGTGTATATGATGAATGCAGTGTGTGTGTATAAATGCAGTGTGTGTATGAGTGCAGTGTGTGTATGAGTGCCCAGTGTGTGTATGAGTGCAGTGTGTGTGTATGAGTGCAGTGTGTGTGTATGAGTGTGCAGTGTGTGTGTATGAGTGTGCAGTGTGTGTGTATGAGTGCAGTGTGTGTGTATGAGTGCGCAGTGTGTGTATAAATGCAGTGTGTATATGAGTGCAGTGTGTGTATGAGTGCAGTGTGTGTATATGAATGCAGTGTGTGTGTGTATGAGTGCAGTGTGTGTGTGTGTGAATGCAGTGTGTATGAGTGCAGTGTGTGTGTGATGCAGTGTGTGTGTGTGTTGCAGAGCCTTGGTGGGGGGTGGGCATTTTTATAAAAAAAAAAAAAAAAATTAATATTATTTTTTATTATTTTAATTTTTTTGGCTATATTATTTTTATAATAATTTTTTATTATTATTTATGTATTATTAATTAATATTATTTTAATTTTTTTGTTATATATTATTATTTTTTATTATTATTTATATTATTAATGTATTTATTTTGTTGTCCCCCCTCCCTGCTTGATACATGGCAGGGAGGGGGGCTCTCTTTCCCTGGTGGTCCAGTGGCATTGGCAGTTCAGTGGGGGGAGGAGGTGGGCTGGCAGAGCTGTTACTTACCTCTCCTGCAGCTCCTGTCAGCTCCCTCCTCCTCCGCGCCGGTCCTTGCAGCTCTTCTCTCAGCTCACACTGTAAGTCTCGCGAGAGCCGCACTATGACCCCGCGGCTCTCGCGAGACTTACACTGGGAGCTGACCGAGGTGCTGACCGGACCGGTGCGGAGGAGGAGAGAGCTGACAGGAGCTGCAGGAGAGGTAAGTAACAGCTCTGCCAGACCCCAGTCTGTATTATGGCAATGTAAATTAATGTAAATTGCCATAATACAGACACTGACTCGAGTATAAGCTGAGTTGGGGTTTTTCAGCACAAAAAATGTGCTGAAAAACTCGACTTATACTCGAGTATATACGGTATATATATTATATATATATATATATATATATATATATATATATATATAATTTTTTTTAAATATTTGTATTTATATATAGGTATATATATAGTGATATATACATATATATCTATGTATATAGATATATATATTATTTAGTTCTACGTGTATTTTGATATAAATATATATATATATATATATATATATATATTAATGTCACAATACAGTTAGAACGAAATAACACACATCTGTATATTTTTTAATCATTTATTTTTAATTATTTTGTAAATTTAATTTTTTAACGTATTTACATTTTTTTTATATTATATATAAATATATATATAACAATAATTATCAGTATCAGTCTACGTGTAATTTGATATTAATATATATATATAATTATATATATATTAATAGTAAAATACACCTAGACAGTGTATGTGTGTGTATGTATATGTGTATATATATATATATATACTTAGATCATATATATATATATATATATATATATATATAATATATATGATCTAAGTATATTATTTTATTTTTTTACACTTATTTTAATATTAATTTATTTTATTTCCAGCCAGCAGAGGGACTACTTGTCATTACAGGCAGTCCCCCTGCTGGCAATGCAGCAGCCAGCTAACCGGCCATGTGATTGTGAGGTCCTCGCAAGGACCTCACTCTCACATGGCCGGGGGGGGGGGCTGCAGGAGGTCGGATGTGCCGCGGAGGGCTCCCTGGGAGTCCCCCCAACTGCGATTGCCGGCGTGGGATCGCCGGCGACCGGGTAAGTAAAAAAAAAACGGAGGGCATACTATTACGCCCGGCGGCGTTTAGAGCCGCCTAAAATAGGGCGTAATAGTACGCCCTCCGGTCTTAAGGGGTTAAATGTAAAACATTTTGTAGAAACATTGAAGGGTTCCTGACAGCCACTAGAGGTGCTTCTGCCTCCAGAATCAAGTCAAAATCGGTCCTGCAAAGCAGCATTTGATTGGAGGAGTATGCGTATCTTGGCTCCAATGCTTCTTTATGAGAAGGATTGGTCAAGATCTCGGAAGACATCAGGAGAAATGTGGCCAAAGACAGAGGTGGAACTGGCGCCTGCAGAGGATAGTTCCAGCTCTGGAAATGAGGTAAGTAAAATGTATTAATCTTAAATATTACTTGATCAACGGAAGGTGGACAGATGTCAGACCAATGAAGGGAATTTATAGTCCCAAAAAACAATTGTTATTTTTGGAAATATAGTCTCTCTTTTATAGCCAAACAGAAAGCATAGCTGAATTTTTCTAGTTCGGCAAAGATGAATTTACTTTTGAAATGGATTTCTCACTTAAGTGCATAGCCCTGAGTTCTGCCTTGATATATTCTGTGCTTTTTTGTGTATTTATACATTAAATTAAACTATTTCAGTTTCATAATACACACTTTTGATATTTTCCAGCCGATCGTCATATAATAAATAACATGTTTACATACATATACATGTAATACATGAATAAAAATATCTATATTAATATCCAGATTAGTCAGAAAGGGATATAGTCACTAAATTGAGAATTTTCAGAAAAATGACAAAAGCATTGGAAATGTAAAAGAACACTATAGTGTTAGGAATACAAATGTATACTCCTAACGCGATAGTGTCCTAGTCTTTGTTTAGATGACTGCGACCCCCAATACTAAAAATGTAGTTTACTTACCTTTTCTCCTCACCACAGTGTTCTCTCAATCTTGTTTATCTCAGCCAATCCAATGCTTTCCTATGGGGACTGGAGGGCATACGCAAAAAACAAACAAACGCCACACTGCGCAATCAAATGATCTCTATGAGACCATCTGATTGAAACTTGGCTTTTTCATTGGAAGTGCCTCAAGAGGCTGCCAGAGTAACAGCCACTAGAGGCATTTAAATCCTGCAATGTAAACATTGTTGTTCCTGCATAATGACATTGTTTTATACTGCGGGGTTAAACCATAAGTGATCTGGCACCCAAATCAATTCATTGAGATGTTGTCTGTGTGCCTATAGTGTCCCTATAACTACAAAATAGCTGAATAGAAAATATATCTTGACCTTCATTAGTTTTCAAGCTTGGGCATTTTGGTCTAAAATATGCAAATCCTTGGTTAATTCTTCAAAATGTCACAGTTTAGTAAATAATCCCCAATAATTGTTTACTTTGGAAACTCATCTTGGTGCACTCGTTTTGTTCTCAAATAATTAGCAAATGATGCAAGCTTGCTGCAGGGAACTGAACACAATTTGAGCTTATTCCAGTAACAAGCAATTAAGCAATATTTATTTAATTCTAACTGTAGGTTTGCACTTTTTCATTATTAGAAAAATAATATAATATTGGAATTAAAGTGTCTATTCACTAAACAGTGAGTTATTGTGAATCAACAAGTAATTTACAATATTTTAGACAACATAACATAGCTAGAAAACATCTCAGATTTTTCCAGGCCAGATATATTAGTATATTAGTGCTCAGTGAATGAGTTCTAGTAATATTTGATATTGATGTTTGCTGTTTCTTTGGGTAAGAAAAAATGCAAACCTTGTATTTTTAGTGTTGAACAATATTAAAATAAAACAAATTTCTGATGTATTTGCGTTATTTTTCGATTACTTTTTAATTTACTTTTGACTAATCTATTCTAGATGGGTCTTATGAGAGCAAGTATATAAGGTGCAAGGCATAGATGAGGGAACCAAGATCTGTCACTTCAGGCCCTGAACTTATTTTGTTTTTGAGTAATTTCTTCTACCATTCTTCATATCATATCATCTCCCACTGTTTTCCTGTGTCATATTCTTTATTTCTTCTAAGATCTATTGTTCCACCTTCTTTCTCAATACTAAATTTTTAAAGCCTGTTGTTCATCCTCACTTTTTCCAAGCATTGAAAAGGAATAACTGGAACCTGAAGCAGGGTGGTCCAAGCATAATACCAGTGAAGGTGAGAAAAAAAAAACATTTAGGCAGGTGACACACCAGCTTCTCATGGTGGCCACTCTCTCTCTTTAATGCTGGCTACAGTCAGGGCCAATCCTAGGGTCACAGACGCCTGGGTGCAGATTTTTATATATATATATATATATATATATATATATATATATATATATATATATATAATGGCATTATGAGACATCGCTGAATACAAATATGAGTGTTTTAGAGCAGTAAAATGTATAATGACAATGATGTCGTCAGTGACAGGGCATTTGTTTTGTGAAAAATGCAAAACGCACATTTAAATGCAAATTTTGGCCATGGTTTGTGACTGATTGGCTGCTAAAAAAGAATTGACATACCCCATTTTGAAAACCATGGGTTGTCTACTTTTGCAAATTGTGTGCAGTGATAGGGGGGAATCTCCTTCCTGGGCTTCCATATGATCTCAAAGGCAACATAGGCCCAGCAAACCAATCTGGAAAATTTCAATGTGTAAAACTGGAAAGGAGAAAATAAGTTTTACCCTGCAATCCCAGTTGCAATCCCTGCAATGAACCAGTTATGTAGCCCTTCTCTGAACTCTCTCCAATGTATCAATATCCTTCTGTAGATACGGTCTCCAGTACTGCGTATAATACTCCAAGTGAGGTCTCACTAGTGCTCTGTACAATGACATGAGCACTTCCCTCTTTCTACTGCTAATACTTCTCCCTATACAACCAAGCATTCTGCTAGCATTTCCTGTTACATTGTCTGCCTACTTTAAGTCATTTGAAATAATCACCCCTAAATCCCTTTCCTTTAGATGTTGAGGTTAGAACTCTATCAAATATTCTGTACTCTGCCCTTGGGTTCTTACATCCAAGATGCATTATCTTGCACTCTTCATATTTATACATTTTTATAGAAAAAATTTCCCTTCGTTAATAGATAAGTTTTACAAATATAATCGTTTAGTTATTAGCATTGAAAAATGTTCTCCGAAATTTTTCTTATAACATACATCACTCAAATATGGTGGGGTGGGGGGACTCAAGAATCCCTCTCAAATTTTATTGGTAGTCTTAATCATAATAACTGGAACATCAAACTTACTTATGAGATTAGTTCTGAAAAGATTAAATTTTTAGACTTACTAATTTATGTGGAACATAACCAATTAAAAAGTAAAACTTTTTTTAAACAAGTCGATGTGAATAGTTTTATTGATTTTACTAGTTGTCATTTTAAACCTTGATTGACCAACATTCCTAAGGGCCAGTTTTTAAGATTAAAACTTAATTGTTCAGAACCAAAGCAATATAAAGAACAAGCATTGATTTTAAAAAAGCAGTTGATTGCTAAAGGTTATGAGTCTCTTAAAAAACAAAAGGTATGTGAAGAAGTTCATAAGAAATCTAGACACGATCTCCTAAAATATAAAGTGAGAGAACAAAAAGATAAAGAAGATAAGGAAGAGATCCTGTTAATTTAAAAAAAATGTTGTGCCAAAACCTCTAACTTACAAAAAATTGTCAGGAAAAATTGGCATATTTTAAATGAAGATCAGGACATTCATACTTTTATAGGGAATAAACCAAGATCTATTTTTAGAGGGGCTAATAATTTTAAGAAAATTTTAACCCATAGTTTCCTTGATAAAACAAAAATAAAAGAGAATAATAATTTCCTAAAGAGAGACAATGGTTTTTATTATTGTAAAAATTGTAGGGTTACCACTTTAATAGACCACCAAAAGAATAATAAAAATTTAAAGAAATCACCTCATTTCAGACTAAAGAGGAATATAATATAAAATCTTTTATCACGTGTAACACCAAACATGTTATTTATATGATTATATGTCCTTGCGGTTTTCAACACATTTTGGAAACCTCAAGGGCCCTCAAGATAAGAATTCGGGAACATATTTATAATATGACAAGGAGAAAAATGAGATGGCGGGGGTAACCTTAACTGATGGGTAATAAAAAAATATTAAAACTAAATGTTTAATAGACAATTTTAAAAGTACCCTCTGATGACCTAATTTGCGAAACGCGTGTCAGGGTGACTAGGGGTATCTCACCGATATGCAGTAATCTTAGAACAGTGCTATCAGACAGTCTAAGAGTAGTGGGACTAGGGGTATCTCACCGATATGCAGCAACCTTAGAACAGTGCTATCAGTCAGTTCAAGAGTATATCAATCAGATATGATTATTCCTTCACTGCTAGGGTGACTGTGGGCAATATTATCGATATCAAATACTCTAAATACTGGACGATTGCAAATTTCAGCGGCATTTACCTACTTTTTATTTCTGTGATCTGGAATTTCCTGAATCACAATAGCTACAGCAGTCAGCTACTAAAGACTATCGCAAGTTGAGCACAGCATTGTAGGAGTTAACTTTTGCCGCCTAGTTTGTCACTGTACTACCGTTCCACTAAGACAGGGTGAGTTTTTGATCGGTGGGGTAAGGGTGCTCGCAAAGGCACAATAGGGCGAGAGAGAGTCTATCCTCTCTATAAATCCCTCCCCGGGACTTACCCCGATCATAATATTATTGTAGCAGTGCAGCATACTATACCCAACAAAGCTGCTAGGTCCACCATTGTAGCAATGTGTATATGTTGTATATCAGCTACTTTGTTAGCCAATACAGTCTTAGATACATAAATGAGAAAAGAAAAGTAAAACAAGGATTAGTTAGAATAAAAACAAAAGAAGGAAGGTATGTAGAAGAGGATAAAGGTCTAGCTGACTGCCTCAATGAATATTTTTGTTCTGTATTTACAGATGAAAATGAAGGAAAGGGACCTCAGTTAAGAAAAAGGATAAATTAGTAATTTATTACATGTGAGTTTACAGAGGAAGAGGTTCTATTTCAACTGTCAAAAGTAAAGACAAATAAGTCAATGGGACCTGATGGAATACACCCAAAGCTATTAAAAGAGCTTAGTGGTGTACTAGCAAAACCATTAACAGATTTATTTAACCAATCATTGTTAACAGGAGTAGTCCCAGAAGATTGGAAGTTAGCGAATGTTGTGCCCATTTACAAGAAAGGTAATAGGGAGGAGTCGGGCAACTATAGGCCAGTAAGCCTTACTTCAGTAGTGGGGAAAGTGATGGAAACCATGTTAAAGGATAGGATTGCTGAACATCTAAAAACACATGGATTTCAAGATCAGAGACAACATGGGTTTACTTCAGGGAGATCATGCCAAACTAATCTTATTGATTTTTTTGATTGGGTAACTAAAATGATAGATCATTAAATAGTACCACTGATGTTTCAATTTTGCTAGAATTTTATCAGTATTATTTTAATTTAGTTCATTCTTTCATCTAAAGTGGATTAATTTTATTCATTTGTTCCAATTTGGCTAGACTACTATGCAGTTCTGAAAGATTTTTCCCTTTTTGTCGCTTTGATATTACGCGTGATATCACCAATTCTAGAATCTTTACACAACTCTAAAACATAACCATACATTAAAAAATAGTCGATTCTGGAATAGGAATTGTGAGCATTTTTAATAAAAGGTGAAATCTTTATCCTGGGATGTTGTACCCTCCAGAAGTCATAGAGATTTTGTTTGGCCAAGGATAGAGAAAACTTCTCTGAGTTAGATTTTAATCTGACATTATACCTCTTTTGATGTAAACTCTTTTTATCTAGTTCAAAATTAGCAATACAATTTAAATCACCGGCAATGATGGTGATTCCTCTAGCAAATTATTTGAATTTAAAAAGCTTAAGAGATGATCAGATGGAGCATATAAATTACCAAGGGTGAATAACACATCATTAATATGACATACCAACACAATATATCTACCCTCCTTATCAGATTCATGATAAATATATTAAAATTTTAGTTTAGCTGGGAACAAAGCAACCCCTCTTTTCTTTATCTCTTTTAAAGATGATGTATAAAGGTGGGGATATTTTCTAAACTTCCAAAGCTTGTGTTGGACCTGTTTCCAATTTGTCTCTTGGATAAATGCTACGTCTATTTTTTCTTTTATCAATAAATCATAGAGATAGGATCTCTTGTACGGAGAATTCAAGCCCTGTGAATTAATCGATAAAAGTTTAATGGACATCGATTAAAAAACGGTCGTCCCAACTCATGCTCAAAAAAATG